TGAGAGTCGGGGTTTGGGACAAGAGGGACCTTGGAGTCCCCCATTCAGCGCTCGGGCGCCGCAGTACCCACAGTGCCCAGTAGATGGCGCCGTGACAGCAGGAAAACGGGCTCCGGGCAGGAAAGTTTGTGTGGAACCTTCCGGGCCACCAGTGGGACCAGGCGCTGATGTCCACACTTCCGCCGTGGCCTCTCAGGCGGGCAGTGGACTGCGGGCAGCGGGAGGAAGGAGCGTGGCCGGGGGGTCTCCTCGGCCGAGCGTCATAGCTCTGACCAGGCCTCAGTTTTCCCTAAGGATCCTGCGTTTTGTGTGTGTGTGTGTGTATGTGTGCGTGTGTGCGCGCGCGCATGTGTGTGTATGTGCATGCATGTGTTTGTGTGTGTGCGCGTGGGTGTGAGCGCGCACATATATGTGCGTGTGTGGTTGTGTGTGTGCCTGCATGTTGTGTGAATGTGTGGTTGCATGTGTGTGTGCATGTTGTGTGTGCATGGGTGTGTGTGCGCGCGCGTGTGTGCATGCGTGTGTTTGTGTTTTTGCATAGGTGCGTGGATGTGTGCATGTGCGTGTGCCTGTGTGTGCATGCATGCATGTATGTGCGTGTGTGCTTGTGTGTGTGCCTGCATGTTGTGTGCGTGTGTGGTTGTGTGTGTGCGTGCAAGTTGTGTGTGCATGGGTGTGCGCGCGTGTGTGTGCACACTTATGTTTGTGGGTGTGTGCATGCGTGTGTGCGTGCGTGCACGCATGTATGTGCGTGTGTGGTGGCTATGTGTGTGCCTGCATGTTGTGTGTGCATGTGTGTGTATGCATGCGTGTGCGCACACATGCATGTGTGTGGTTCCATGCATGCTTGCGTGTGTGCATGCATGTGTGTGCATGAGTGTGCATGTGTGTGTGCTTGTGTGTGCCTGCGTGTCACGTGTGCATCTGTGTGGTTGTGTGTGCATGCGTGCATGAGTGTGTGCACGCATGTGTGTACATGCATGTGTGTGTGTGTGCTTATGTGCATGGGGGGGCTGTCACAAGCCGACAGGGCCTAGCTTGGCCCCACCATCACTGGGCCACAGGGCGAGTGTACCCGGAAGCCCTCGGTCCGGTATTCCCACCGCCTGGTGCTCCTGGCCCCTGAGCACTGGGAATTCACGGTCCACTGAGGCACGGAGGGGCCAGGGCCCGTCAGATCCCAGGTCCTGCTCTCATGCCCCGACCCACTGCGGTGGGCCAGCCCTGGTGGGCCTCCGAGGTTCCGATTCCGGGGGGCGGGGGCAGCAGTGGCCAGGGGGCAGTGGCGGGTGGGGGGCGGAGCTTCCTGTCCGTTCCCGCAGGGGGACTTTCAGGGGGCCGCGCGTGTTTTTTCTTTTGTTTTATTTTTATTTCCCCTGCACAGGCTGCAGGAGACGAATCGGTGTGTCCTGTGGGCTCGAGTGAGGCTTATGTAACTGCAAATGATTCAACTCGCAGCTCGCACAAATGGCTAATTCGGCCCTTAATGCCGTAGCCCCCCCGGCAGGGAGACGCTGGCGTGGCTGGGCACCGGGGCCTCGGGCCCTCTCCGGAGCTGTGACAGCCGTGGTCAGCGGTGCAGGGGGACCGTGAGAGTCTGGCTCTGCATCCGGTCCTGGTGTCCAGCCCGGCTCCAGGGGGCAGGAAGGCCCACAGGCACCCACACCCCCGAGGGGCTCTGCTGGCTCGGGGTGTCCCCGGCTCCAGGAGGATGGGGGTCCTGCCGGACGTCCCCACAGCACAGGCCAGGGCCCAGTGGCTGCAGGGGCCAGCTAGCGGCCATCAACTTTCGGAACTGCACCGGCCGTGGGCCCGGCGTCTCCTGCCCCCGGCCTCAGAGGTGTCCAGTCTCGACCCCAGGGCCAGGGTGGGCCGATGTGGTACCCAGGCCGCCCGCAGACCACGCGGGTCTGGAGTCGCCGGCCGATGGGGCTTCCGGTCCCTGGTGCCACCGTCCCTGGGCGTGTGGGAGGAGGCGGAAAAGGTGCCAAGTGGGAGAGATGAAGTCACCGTCCTTGGGAGACACGGGGCGCCATGCACCCATGGCCCAGACCTGCACCACGCACACGGACACACACGCACCACAGCTCACGCGCCCACAGAGAGCACACACACACACTACGGACACACACACATAGACACACATACTGTGGACACACACACCATGGACACACACACCATGGACACACACATCATGGACACATACCACAGACACACACCACAGACAGTACACACATACACACACCCCACAGACAGCACACACACACACTACAGACACACACACCACGGACACACACACCACGACACATACACATCACAGACACACAGACAGCACACACACACCACAGACACACACCACAGGCACACACACAGACAGCACCCCCCACAGATAGCACACACATGACTGTACACACACACAACCAGATAGTACACACACACCCCACAGACACACACACACCTCACAGACACACACTTCCCACAAACACACACCCCACAGATACCCCACAGACAGTACACACACCCCACAGACATGCACACATCCCACAGACACACACACTACAGACATACACCCCACAGACACATCCCACAGACACACACACCACAGACGCACTCCACAGACACACACCACAGACACACATACCACAGAGTCCACCGACACACACCCACACCCACACCCACACTCTCCCTCCCACAGGCCTTCCTTCAGAGACACACAGAATTCCTCAACCACCCTGCTCCCACACTCCCTCACACACACATTCTCACACCTTTGTTCGCACGCCCTCAACCACACACACCCCACCTACAAGTTCTCACACCCTAATGCACACACACACCCTCAACGCCCCCTCCAGTCTTCACAAATTCTTACACATTCATACGCACTTCCGCAACCACACACCCCTCACCCCTCCGCACTCCTCACGCCCCCGCACTTTCCCCTGCGGTCCTCACACTGTCCCTTACAACACACTCACACGCCCCCTCCACACATCTCCCCCACACTCCCTCATGCTCACCCTCACCCCTCACACACACACGCACGCACACACGGTGCCTTCACAGCCTGTGGGCGCCCGAGTCCCCTGACTCCATGCATGAATCCCAGTGTCACTCAGCTGTCATTCCTTCCCACGGCTGCATCACACACAGACACGCTGCCACCTGCCCCCGTCTGTGTGTGCGTGTGTGCGCGCGCATGTGTGTTGACAGGGAGAAGTTGGTGTGTGTGTGTTGGTGGAGAGGGTGTGTGTCTAAGTGTGTGTGTGTGTGTGTTGGTGGAGAGGAGTGTTCTGTATGTGTGTGTTGGAGAGGAGTGTGTGTCTGTGTGTTTGAGTGTGTTGTATGGGTGTATTGGAATGTCTGTGTGTGTTGGAGAGGAGTGTGTGTGTTGGGGTGTCTGTGTTGGAGTGTCCTTGTGTGTTGGAGTGTGTGTTGTGTGTGTCTGTGTGTTGGGGAGGAGTGTGTGTATTGGAGTGTCTGTGTGTTGAAATGGGTGTTGTGTGTGTTGGAATGTGTTTTGTGTTTGTATCTGTGTGTTGGAGAGGAGTGTGTATATTGGAGTGTCTGTGTATGTTGGAGTGAGTGTTGTGTTGTGCTGGAGTGTGTTTTGTGCGTATCTGTGTGTGTATTGGAATGTCTGTGTGTGCTGAAGTGTCTGTGTGTTGAAGTGTGTTGCATGTGTCTGTGCGTTGGAGTGTGTGTACTGGAGAGGAGTGTGTGTGTCTGGGAGCATCTGTGTGAGTGTCTGTGTGTTGGAGAGGAGTGTGTATTGGAGTGTCTGTGTGTGTTGGAATGTGTGTGTGTGTGTGTGTGTGTGTGAGTTGTGCGGGGCGGGGGAAGGAGCCTCGGGCAGGCTATGGGGAAAGGCGGGGGTCGCTGCCAGGCACAGGCTGGGCCCCCTCAGGCGCGGTTTTGGTGGGCTGGGGGCAAAGTGAAGGGTGTGTATGTGTGTGTCCGTGTGCGTGTGTGTCTTTGCGTGTCTGTGCGCGTGCAGGATTCCTCGCAAAACTTCCCCGCGGAGGGGCCCCTTCCCCGCGGTGCCCCGACAGCCCCGGGGAGGGGGGCCGCGCCGGGCGCGCGGAAGCCCCCCGGGGCGGGGTCCGAGGGGCGCCCCCGGCAGGCCCCGCGTGCGCCTGCGCGCCCCGCGCCCCGCGCCCCGCCTGCGCCCGCCTCCGCGCCCGGCCCGGCCCCGCGGCCGCTCGGGGGGCGGCGTCTCCCCGCGGGAGGGGGCCCCCCGCGGCTGCAGCGGCCGGCCGGGCCCTTCCAGCGCCTTCCATCCCATCCCACCCATCCCCGCCCCGCCGCGCCGCGCCCCTGCCTCGCTCGCTCGCCCGCCGCTCGCCGGGCCGGGCCTGCGCTCCCTCCCCGGGGGTCGCGCCGGGGGGTCGCGGCGGCGGGGGCCGCGGCTGCAACCTGTTCGCGGGGCGCGGGCGGGCGGAGGCGGAGGCGGCCTGGGGGGTGGGGGGCGGCCCGCGACCCCCCACCCCGCCCCCGCGCCGGGCGCCGCAGCTCGGAGACCCCCGCGCGCCCGCGCGCGCGCGCGCGTCACCCCAACCCGAGCCTGGCCCACCCTATATTTTTTCATTATTGTTTTTTTATTCCCCGCTTTTCTTTCCTTTAAAGTTCTTTTGTGCTCCTTCCCCCCATCCCCCCGATAAATCACCAAACTGTTACCTAGCGGGGCGGGAGCGCCGCGCCGACGCCCCCCCGCCCCCAGCGCGCTCCGAACGCCGCCCCTCATTGGCATTTGCAGGGGTGGGGGGAGAGGCACCGCCTGGGAGCGCCCTGCCCCCAGCACCCCCCAAGATCTTTTCTCTATTCTTTTTTTTTTTGGCTTCCTTTTTTCTCTCTTCCTTTTTTTTTTTTTGTTGAATTCTCCTTCCCCCCATTCCGAGGCATGGGGCTCCGTGCGCCGCGCTTTTAGGCTTTTAGATTCAACAGCTCGGAGGCGGCGCGGGCACCCCCCGGGCAGCCTCGGTCTCCTTCCAACTTTGCAGGATGGCTCGCTTCGGGGAGGCGGCGGTGGTGGCCAGGCCCGGCTCGGGCTCGGGCGACTCGGACCAGAGCCGGAACCGGCCGGGGACCCCGGTGCCGGCCGCGGGTTCGGCGGCCGCCTACAAGCAGACCAAGGCGCAGCGCGCGCGGACTATGGCCCTGTACAACCCCATCCCGGTCCGGCAGAACTGCTTCACCGTCAACCGCTCCCTCTTCATCCTCGCCGAGGAGAACATCGTGCGAAAATACGCCCGCAAGCTCACCGATTGGCCATATCCTTCCTGGCCCGGCTCGTGGGGGGGAAGCCCCCCGGGGCGCCGAACGAGGGCCCCGCGACCCCCCGGATCCCCCCGGGCCCCATTTGGCCAAGCGCTTGCCACCAGGCACCGAACCGGGGTCCTCCCCCCATCCCCAGGTAAGACTTTGCATCGTGCGTCTTTTCCGTGGACCCTCCTGGGTTGCCCCCCACCCCCACCCCGTGCGTGGTGACCCTTGGGGACAGCAGGTGCAACCCCCCATGAGCCCTCTGCACGCTGCGTCCTGACGGCGGTGGCGGCGGTGGCGGTCTCACCCCCGCAGAGCTGCCCGGGGCGAAGTTCAGGCTCCCGGCGGGGGTTGAGTGGTCCATGAACATCCAGGGATGCTCCGGGCTGAGTGGTCCATGAGGATCCAGGGATGCTCCGGGCTGAGTGGTCCATGAGCATCCAGGGATGCTCCGGGAGGAGGAGGAGGAGGAGGAGGAGGAGATGCCTCGGACCCAGCCCCCCCCCCCCCCAGGACAGGATAACGGCCAACTCTCGGCGGGGATGGGGGGCACGTTTAAGTTCGGGCGCCTGGGAGTGTGTGTGTGTGTGTATGTGTGTAGGGGGGGTCTTCCCGCCGTGCCTCCCTGCCTGGCAGAGGGGCTCTGCAGGGCCCTGGGCACGCATGTGTGTTGGGGACTCGGGGTGGGTTTTTTTTTTTTCTGGCGCTGGGCTGCCCTGGATGCAGATGGAAGGGGTCCCCTGAGTTCACCTGTGCGCTGGGTCCCCCATGTGCCCTGGGCTGCCACCGGGGAGAGTTAGTGGCTGTGCCCAGGGCTGCACCCCACTTCCCCACCCCCCCTGAGGCCCCGTGGGGTGCGCTCCACGCCGGCTACTGCTGCTTGCCAAGAACCCAGGCTGGTTAGCAGAGCTTGAGGGACGGGGGTGTCGCGCGGTGGCGAAGCGGCGGGCAGGTGGAGAGGGGGGTGGGGGGTGGGGTGCTGCACCTGCGGGGCTCCCACGCTCCAGGTGTGCCGCGGCCAGGCAGCTGGAGGCCCCCCAATCCCCCCGGCACCCCACCCCGGGGTCCTGCCTGCCCGTCGCCTCCCGCCTGGCGGCGGTTGGTTGGCTCCTTGGAAGCGGGGACCGTGCTCGGCTCGGCGGCGCGCGGCCTCCCCCGCCGCGTCTCCCCGCCTTCCCTCTCCCCATTGCCCCCCGCCGAGGGGTGGGGGGCGCTGCAGTGCGTGAGTCGGAGCGTCTGCTGGGGAGGGGGCGCGGGTCCGAGGGCGGCTCCACGCCCCGCAGTCCGGACGCGCGCGCGCGCGCGCAGCGAGGCTCATTGTGTGCGCGCGCGCGGGTGCGGCGAGCGCGCGCGCGCGCAGCTGCCGGCCCCGCCCTCGGCCGCCCCCGACCCTCCAGGGGCGGGTCCCACCCCACCCCCCAAGGGCTGCGGGGGCTCCGCACCCCGGCTGCACCCCGCGCTCCGCTCCGGAGCGTGGCGTGCCGGCGCCGCCCTGCCCGCTACAGAGCGCCTGCCAACATCCCGGGCGGCCGCCGAGGGGTCCCTCCACCCCCTCCCCCTTTCCAAACCGGGACCCCCCCCCCTTCCTCCCTGGCACTTCCGGCCACCCAGCCCCGGGCCCCCTGAACACGTTTCGCGCACCACGTGGCCGCCTCCGCTCGCGTTCGCGTTTCCGCTGCTCCCCGGGTCCCGGTTGCCAGCGCCCCTTTTCTTGTCCGGGGCCAGCACGGGTTGGGGGAGGGGCGCCCCCATCCCCCCTGCACCCCTCCGGGCAGCTGTGGCCCCTTCCGCCCCCCCGCCGCCCCCTCCCCGAGTTCCGGGAAGCTTCTGCAGCGCTTCACGCAGGGCAGAGATGGGCAGAGATGCCAGGCCCAGCTGGTGCCAAGCTCACGCCCCCTCCCCTCCCTTCCCCTCCCCTCCCCTCTCCTCCCCTACTCTCCCCTGCCTTTGTCCAATAATCAATCGATTCATGCTTGTTTCCCCCACTGGTAACCCCCTCCCCCAGGGAGGATCCGGTTCCCCCACAACTGTCTTCCCTACCCCCCCAAACCTCCAGTGCACCCAGATTCATCTTCCACCTCCTTCTTTAGGGTGCCACCCTGCGAGGTGCCAGGGATGGGTGATCAGGCGGGCTTGGGGTGGGGGGGCTGCGCCGTCCGGGTTCAAGTCCTAGGGGCTGCGCTGTAACCTTGAACAATTATCTGCTTCCCTTGATCCGTGCGCGGGCTGGAGTTCCCTGGTGGGTTCATTGAGTTCCTACGTGTCCGGCTTCCTGGTACCAGCTCTTAGCGCCAGGCCGTGGTGATTAAGGAGAGGACTTTGCATGCGGCCCAGGAGAAGGGGGTGTCCCAGTTCCCCCCGGGGGAGCTCCGGGCATTTTTAGAGGCATGGAAGGGGCTGGGGGCTAGTTAAGAATTTAGACTCCTCCAGAGGCTGGAGCAATAGCACAGCAGGAGAGGACGTTGGCCTTGCACGCGGCCGACCTGGGTTCGATCCCCAGCATCCCATAGGGTCCCCCGAGCACCGCCAGGAGTGATTCCTGAGTGCAGAACCGGGAGTCAGCCCTGAGCATCGCCGGGTGGGACCCAAAAAGTAAAGAAAAAAAAAGAATTCAGATTTCTGGGTCCTTCTCCAGACTCGGTGAGGCCTTCCTTCTTTAGGATGGTTTTGGACGGAAGTTTGGGTCGCCCCGCTCAGCCCGAAGCACGTGAGACCCGGCCTTGAAGGGAAACGGGCGGCTCTGTGGGCCTGCCGCCTCTTGAGTCCTGGGCATCTTTGCTGGCTGTGTCCCGCCGTCACGTTGGACCTTTTGGTCCAACCCGGGCACTGACACATCCTCGGAGACGCCTGTGATCTGTGGGTGCGGGTGGGTGACCGGCCTCACCCGGTTCTTCATGGGAAAGATCTGGATCTTTCTGGAACGGATGCCCGACACAGCCCGGGTTCGGTGGGGCTGGCGGGGGTGTCAGTGGGTTGGCAGCTCGCTCTGAAGGCGCCGTGTTTCGTTTTATCTTTCCTTCTTGCAAGCGTCATCTGCAGAGAGAGAGAGAGAGAGAGAGAGAGAGAGAGAGAGAGAGAGACAGAGACAGAGACAGAGAGATTCAGAGAGAGATTCAGAGAGAGACAGAGACAGAGATTCAGAATCAGAGAGAGAAAGAGAGAGAAAGAAGAGACAGCGAGAGAGAGAGAGAGAAAGGGAGAGAGAGACAGAGAGAGACAGCGAGGAGAGAGAGATTGCGTTCTCCTGCTGGGCTCCGGGCGGCAGTGGGCCCTGTAACCTTTTGGAAAATGCTAATTTAATTTCGGAGGCGATCTGTACGTCTCCAATTCCTCTTTTTCTCCCTTGCTCATCTGAAGGGCCCCTCAAAAGCCTTCCAGGGGGGCACTTGCTGTTCAGGAATGTTTCCTATGGTCTGGGCTGGTCCGTCCCAGGTTCTGGGGCCCTCAGGGGTCCCCCTTCCTGTTTGCAAGGCTGGTGGGGTTGGGGCCCATCCCCGATGCGGGGGGGCAGAAGCCGCACCCCCATCCCCTAATCCACTTTCCAGAGATTCCCCCCATTTCCCACAGTGCTCTGATCTCTGGAGGAGAATTGTTGAGATCTTTTTTGGGGGGAGGGCTTTCTGGGTGGCCCCCCAAGTATTTCTGGCTGTTCACGGTGAAGCAGGGGGTCCCCCAAATCCTCACCCGGGGCCCTCCTGCCTTCCTGAGGCGGGGGATTCTCCATGGTCCTCCCGGGGACACACGGGCGGGGGTTTCGGGCTGGGTGACAGTGATGTTGACCCAAACCCTGGCTGCGGAACGCAGATAAAGCCAACGGGACAGGCAGGTGCCCAGCTTGGGGACTGCGGGTCCGGCGCTATGATGCTCCGGTTCCTGTTTGGCCTCCGTCCTTGCTCCGCGCACGCGCCCAGGGGGTGGGGTTGTCTGGTGGGGACACCAAGGGGCCCGCAGGCCCGCCAGGCCCTCCTGGAAAGCAGGCTGGAGGGGAGGCATTTGAGAGAGACGAAAATATCTCGGAGGTGATAGGGTGTCATGTCCCACCCGCTCGCCCTTCCGCAACGGCTTTCTGAATGCCGCAGCCCAGGTCGCTGTGAATTAGAGGAGGAGGAGGAGGAGGAGGAGGAGTGGGAGGAAGAGGAGGAGGAAGAAGAGGAGGAGGAGGAGGAAGAGGAGGACCCCAGCAGCCTTCCTTAGCTGCAGTTCCCGTAAAACCCAGACTCCCCGCGTTCTTGGCCTCATCCTCAGTTTCTTCTCTCCTTGGAGCGGCGGGGGTCGAAACCAGAAGTGTCTTCTCCACCCCCCTGAACTCTGCAACCCACCCACTCCCCTTTCCCGTTTTTTATTTTATTTTATTTTATTTTATGTTATAGCAACATCTGCCTTCGTTCCATTTTCGTTCTCCCAAAGTGTTAAAACCCCAAACGCTCGTCAGCCCAGACCCGCTTGGGTTCCAATCTCCCCGCGTTGTTGCTCTTCTCGGGGGTCCACGACCCCCTGCCTCTCTCCCCCTCATGCCCTAGCTTGCACTTTCTGCCCCAAGGCGAGGTGGGACGTGGCCCTGTGAACCCCCCTTTCCTCCCTGCCTCCTGGGCACCCCAATTTCTCCGTTCCTTCCCTCTCTGCCCTGGTTCCTTCCCCCCTCCCTGCCCCTCTGTGTGGTTCTATATTTCTCTCTCTCTCTCTCTCTCTCTCTCTCTCTCTCTCTCATTTTTAGGTTCAGCCTTTGTGAATAATTCATTATCTGTGTGGGCTTTTCCTGGGCTTTTCAGAAAAGAGAGGTTACTTGTCTTCCACCGGGAGAGGGAAAGGAGGTCTTCTTGCCGCGGCCGGCCCCGCGAACACCGCCTCTCTTCCGGCCCGCTGTTCCTCGCTGGCCGTTGCTTTGGTGGGTGGGTGGGTTGGTTTTGTGGTTGCGGGGGCCACCCCCAGCGCGGCTCAGGGTGTCCTCCGGGCTCTGCGTTCAGGAATCACTCCTGGTGGAGCTCGGGGTGTTGGTGGCGGGGATCG